CCCCATCCAGGTAAGATTTGGTCCACATATTCGTCTGATGTATGTCACCGGCGATGTTTGAGCATACTGCCAATGTGTAGTTGTGTTCCTCTACATTTACATTTCAAGATGTTTAGAAAAAGTCATAGACCCGATTTTATGTGTGGCGTATGTCATCGGCGATGTTTGTCCACAAATCTTTTCCAATTGCTTCAATTTCAGACGGAGTGCGGTGAAGAGACCTCAGACTGGGTTCTGAAATACGTTACCAAATTCGCAACTGCCATTGACCCTCGTTGCAAATTGGCCAGCCAGTTGCCAAGTGAGCATACAAGCTCCAACTAACTTTTCTTTTTTTCAACGGTGCCCTCTTTACACCTGCTCTTTTTCAGTCGGCAAGGTGATCGGAGTCGGATGTTCGGCTGACGAGGAGGCGATTATCGATCATTGTGCTGCTCCGCTGAATGACATCGGAAGCCGGCTTGAAGAGCTCTTCCAAGGTGGCCTACAGGCGATGATCAAGAACGTGAACAGCTTGGCACCGGTCTTTGCGGGTGGCTGCAATCTTACAGGTGAGTCACGTCAGGGTTAGATGCTTGCTATAGAAAGCCTTGTTTCCACGATTTGGCTACCTGGAACAGTCCTCTCCACGAATAGAATAGAAGTTTCATAAATGTAGGATACGCGCAGTTCTTGAAAAAGCGGCGACAGCTGTTGCTCGCACTGCAAAAATCTACGCGGCAGGATGTCTGCGTCTTGTTGACCACTATTCTCTCTCGATTTTCTCCCTTCTCGGAGCGCAGTTCGTTCGTAGCATTTCACATCTCACGAAAGAAGGCCTTCTTCTACCGTTTGCTCTCCATATTTTTCTCCCTCGGTCCAAATCACTCCTCCATTCATTTTTGAGCAAAACTGCCATACCATGTGATCGTAGAATCTATCCTTGAGGTTTCTTCCACAGAACTCTAATGCATTCCCCTGAAACATATGCAACTTCCATGTACGTTTCGACATAAAGAATTCGATAACATATTCCAGTGGGTGTAGTCAAACCTTTTCTGAGATCCACAGAGATGATTATACGCTAGAGGCTGGGTACCTGGTGGGAGGCCCGTGGCGCGGCGAGGAGACTGAGACGCAAACAGGTCAGCGGACGAGTCAGCGCGTACTGCAGCGATTCGTCGTCAAGTCGCACAGTACACTCCGACCCCTCTGCGTCTCTACCTTCTCGCCGCGCGATGGACCTCCCGTCGGGTACTCTATCGAATAATATAGCTATTTTGTTCAGTGCCACTTCATAGAACGTGCAGTCAATTTTGTATCGGGTCTTCCGCGCTGACTTTACTTTCTCGATTTCGACTCTCTCCACGAAACGCTTGAGCATGAAACACGAGTCTATTTGTCGGCTTGATGGACCTGGTGCTTGCTTTATTTTCTTCCTATTCTAAATCACGTAGTAGGGGTAGATAGAGAATAGAAGTGTCGTAAGAGATCGTCATGCTCAGCAGCGGAAGCTAGTACTGCGTTTACAAAATGGTAGTTTCAGATGAGATTTCGGAATGTGCATCGTTCCTGTTACTGGACGGACGACCATGTGTTGTGTCTTCCTGTCTGATCCGTGCTGGCGAAGGAATCTGCGATCAGCCGGATCCCACAAAAGCCATCGATGACAATCTCAGTTGCGTGTTCGCACAGGTTAGTACACATATGACAATGAGAATCTATGGCACACTGCCCGATTGGGGAAAGCCACGCCATCCTTTCTACGACGACATGTCTATTTGTGACGGTTGGGTTCACTAGTTCTGAATTATGCCTTGTTGGGAGCGTGACGTTCCCACGGTCTATCATCTTGCTAAGGGACCCTAGATCCATTCTGGAATCCCCCCCCATGTTTTTCGCTTTCGGCGCAGAAAAAAGCCTCGGCTTCGGCTCTTTTCCCACTTCCTTGTTTTGAAACGCGCTGCACAGTGGTGTCCGGTAATCCTTCCCGACTCTGTGGGAAACCACGCCCCTCCTTGCTGCCTCACGAAAGAAAATCAATGCGTATTAGTACCTATATAATGATCGAGAGCGGTTTTTTAAATGTCGTGGATTTGCTAGACTGAAAATTGGATGGGTAGCCACGCTCACGCTGATTTGTATCCAAATGACTCACAGGGTTAAGGGGTAGGGCCATCGAGTTTGGAAGACCACGCCCACCTCACTAGTGTTGTGGACGTTCGCCTGATGTTTTTATAAAAGTCACTCAGCACTCGAAACACCCATAAGTTTTATTCGTTGTCGAATAAAGCGCATTTCTCCACCATCAGTAATCAATACCTATGCTGCGCGCACTGGAATGGTAGTTGTGTACACTATCTTTGGACGAGTTAACACTACAGCTTGGACGAGTTCTCGTTTTCAGGTACAAGAACCATCATTCGCGAAGTGTGTACGATCTACGCTGTCTACAGTGAAACAATTCACCCTGAGTTCCTTCCGTAATATCCTACCGAAATTCGTCGACTGCACTGAGGAGATCGTTCGTGCCAAATGCGGAGAAACGCCCATAAATGTACGTGAACCCTCCCATTCCGTGCTGGTGTTTAATAGTAAGTAGTGGTGGGTACTTTCAGGTACTTCGCGCCATGTCTTCACCCGACATCTGCCCAGTTGGCCCAGCGCCAATTGTTCCCGTCAATAAGGGCCATGTGCCGCAACGAGTGGAGCCACAGGTAAGCATTAGCTTGTCTTGATCGATTATCGATTAGCTTTTACAGTTTTCGTTTACAGCTTCCCACATGCACCCCAGAAAAGCAACAAGCGTACGATCAGTGCACTGAGCCGTTCTTCAGTTACCGTATGCTTCCAATAACGCTGATCAACGAGATGGAGAAAATGGACCAGGTATACCGTAACTAGCGAATATTCTGATTCAAGGCCTGAGTTACAGTAACTGCCTTTAGGTTTGCGCCGATGTGTCAATCATGGACGGCTGCTCGATCGCAACGAGGGTTTGCGGCTCTGCCGAACAGATGGCGCTAAAAAAGATGATCGAACAGCTCTGCGCCAGCCCGAGAAGCCTACGACCACTACAAGATTTGCTTGAAGTCAGTGGCCAGCAGCCAGACGGGTGAGCTATTTTTACTCAATTAATTAGAAAGAAGCTTCATAATGGGTTAGATCACTAAGGGTACATTTCACCGTCTAAGTGCTCATAATTAATTGATGTAGAAGTAAAAGGCGAACCAACAGTGAGGAGAAGCGCCGGAGATCCTAAAAAATGAGATCCTTCTTGAGCTGCGGAAAAGACGGAGAGAAGAGCCCACTGCGGCCTAGAAAACAAGATCCGAGACGAGAGAGCATGGGGGACGAGCGAGACGCAGACATCAACGCATTAGCAGCAGGAGGCGCCGAGGGCCCGGGGTGACCGGAGTTTTGAGTGACCGACTCCTGACCTAGTGCCAAGCGTTCTCGAGAACCGAACCGATATTTGTGAATAGCTCTATCCCTCTCACAAAAGGAGCTGATTCCTCTGGATCCACGGTGGAGTGTCCTTAGTAATCCCAGACAAACTGCGGTGGCTTGATCTCAGAGAAACAGAGTAAGCGACATGGACGCAGAGGAGTGTGTGACCTCCAGATAGTATTTCTGGAAAGTAAGCGGCCGTCTTAAAAAGCAATGATAAATGTATGATACGGAGGAAGAATGCCTTTAAAAGTATTCCATTCCTCACAGGTGTGGACCAGTTCTGCCGTAACGTCATTTGCATGATTGGGGGGGGGGGGTAATTCACCAATGATGGGCGGGGTTATCCACCTACCGGTGGGAGGCATAGCAGCGCTATGACACTATTTCAATGCTGCTTTAGTTAGCTAGTATAAGGTGCATCGACATGTCAACACGATCTGCGATAACTGTGCTGTCCACAACGCGCCGCGACCGCGCGCGTCTCCTCCCGGATTTCTCAAAAAGAGAAATATTCATGTGAAGAACTTTTTGTCTTCTTGAATATCGAATCAAGTGAAATTGAATTGAAATAATTTTGGTTATATTTTCAGGGAGCTTCGTGCATGTCAGAATTCATGTCATCAACACCTGGAACCCGATGCTCTGCCATTCAGAACGCCGCTACATGCATGGCCAAGCAGGTCTGCTTTCGTTACTAATCGATTTGTATCCTATTCACATGAGCTTTCTAAAACCGTAATCAAGGAAATGCAATTTGCAGTAGCTCTGCTATGCACAACGTGCCGTACCGCTGCCCTCTACGCGTTTAGTCCTAGACTTTCTAGACTATGAAGAAATTCGAAAATTCAAACACCTATTTTCTTGAACTCAAACTTAAGAAATTAAGAGTTACTATTTAACGACCACCATTCACAATTATTTCGGTATGTATGTCTTCCACCTTTTCACACATCGACGCCGGTGCGACGCGCATGCGCGTCACGCTGCGGTACGTAAAAGAATGTGTAGAAGGTCAAAGTGGGTGTCTGGCTGCAAACCATGCATTATTAGATCCAACCATTGATTATAATAGCTAAGGCGGCTACATGCTAACTATCTTTGGTTACCGGGCACAACAGTCTGACCTGGGATACCCAAGCTTTCTATGATTGTAACGAACTAGATTTCGGTATCCACCCAAATTTGGGTTGGGTAGCCTGCTGGGCAAAATGTACCTCCTCTCTGAATTTTCTCAGGTGTTCTTACAAAATCATTTCAATATCGTACGATACCATTTCCAGGTACGAGATACATGCGGTGATGATGCGCTGACGTATTCGTTTGCTGCGATGAATGACTACGCACGAATGATGGACAGCCGATGCAGGGTAAGCCAGATGAGAACTATTGATCGCCAGCAAGGGAAAAGCT